TTCGGTTGTTTCACCAGCATCTGAAGTCAGCTGGTGGTCAGTGGCCTCTCCTGTAGTTGGTGGGTGGCTGGCAGACACCGTGGGCATTGGGGTGGCTGCAGTGCATGCCTCTCAGCACCCACAGGCTAGTTGTTCATATGGTGAAATGACAGGGTTCCCCCAAACAGCAGGACAACAAGGCCCATAGGCAAGGCCATTTAAAGCCACTTTTCTTAAACAAATTCATTCATTTGTATGTATTCTTGGTGAAATATACATAACATAAAATGTGTCATTTTAGCTATTTTTAAGTGTACATTTCAGGGGCATTATTTAGGGCCACATCTTGCCCAACTTTTGCTGTAGTCCACTGGTCAAAGCGAATTGCAAGAGCAGCCCAGCCATGGGAGAGGCCACTGACCACCAGCTGACTTCAGACTCTGGCGAGTGAACCTGCAGAAGCCAACGGAAGAATTGCCCAGCTGAGCCCAGCCTAACTGCCACCCCACAGACTCATGAGCTAAACAAATGGCTATTTTTAAGCCACTAAGCTTTGTTGTGATTAGTTATAGGCTTGAAGTAAGTTGTTTTCTTAAATAATAACAGTCAAAGATGAGCACACAAGCCCACTCCCATGCATGGTAAATGGAAGGAGGGGGCAGAAGGCAGCCCCTGAACAGACCCCTGGCTAGGAGTCCAGTGGCAGAAGACAGAGTGGGGGATGAGGGCACCCCCCTGGGAGAGCTCCCATCTGCTTTCCCTGGTCCAGGGGAGATCTTAGGAATCCAAACACAGTCTTCATCAGAGCAAAATGTCATAGAAACTTCCACCCCTCCATCACACAGGCTGTAAAATTAATGACTGCCAGGTTTGCTATTGGAGGGTTCAACTCTCGGCAGCCTATGAGCTATTTTATTAATTAGAGTTTGGGCTGGTGCTTGTGGTGACAGTGGTCCAGGCTGGGGCCTGCTGGACCCGTGGGAGGGAACCTCCTTTGCAGACAGCACGGTCCATGCTCGTGCCTGAGGAACCAGAACCTCAAGGCCAAGAGCCCCAGCCTGGAGCCAGGAGGCCTGAGAGGGCACAGGGGGGACGGTGCCGTTGGTTCTGTCTCTGGGCAGTGATGGTGGTGGACGCCCACACTGCATCAGTTCTATTCCCATGTTCCTGCAGAAGTCAGACACTCCAAGTTCACAAGCTGTGAGACTGGGAGTCCTGCAGGGACCTGGCCATTGGGGGAAGGGGCTGGGAAGGAGCCATAGACATGCACGTCACAGAGAGGGGGCAAGGGACGGATCCAGTCTGGCACTCCTGATGCTACCATGGGTCTCAGGAGAAGGGTGCTGATGACGGTCCTTGGCTAACAGCTAGGTGGCTCTTGTCTGAACAGGCCCTGCAGTCAGCCCCTCAGTCCCCACAACAGGACAATTGGATACTGGTGTTATTATTCCCATTTGGTATAGTGGGGTACCCGGTCTTATAGCTGGCATCAGGTGGAACCCAGATTCAATCTCAGGACTTCACCCCTGCACGTATGGCTTCCCCACATGCTGGACATTTGTCCAGGCCTGTCCTCAGCTGGGCACTGGCTTTGCCCGCTCTTGTGACCTTGACTTTGACCTCCAGGCTGATCAGGCCAGGCTTCTCTCCAGTCCCTTTCACTACACCTCTTGCAGTCCTAACAGACACTCCGCTGTCTGGTGATGCCAGCAGTCCTGCTTTACTCAGCACCTCCAGGCCCAACGGAGTTTCTGTACAACCACCTTGAGGGCAGGCCTTAGAGTGCCCCAGGGCTTCCAGTCTCTGCTGTGAAAGATCCCTGTTATAGTTTTTGTCCCTGTAAAAGCCTTTGTTTAAAATAATTTGTCTAAAAAAAAAAAATCGCTTTTGTTATCATTGTTTTCCCATTATGTATTCATCAAAAACACATGACTTCTATCCATTTGAGATTAGTGTAAATGTGCTTGGAGTTAAAAAATCCCAGCAAAGTTATTATCTTTAGTTTTGGTCAAGTTTTACATCCTTAGACTTTTAAATATGCTTGAATTAGCCCCACAGCTATGGCTCTCTTGGAACACTCTTGGGACTCAGGAAGCCTGGGGTAGGGACATCCTTGTTTGGCAGAAAGGGAAATTGAGACCCAAATGGGTAATGTCCTTGTCCAAGGTCACAGGCTGACTCTAAGCCTTTGTTTTCAGTTCTCAGGCAGTGGCAAAAACCTGAGGTCCGGGTCCAGCTCCTCCAGGAAGGCTTCCCTGGCACCTTCTGCCACTGGGCTGTCTTCTCGCTGGACCTGCCCAGGGCCCACACCTTTGTCCATGCACCTGAGTGGGCCTTGGGTGGGGATAGTTGGGGATGTTCTCCAGTGAGAGTGTCTCTGAACTGGAAAGACCTCTTCTGGGCTGGGAAGAGGGCAACTGTCTGCCCTTTGACCTTGGGATCAACCCTTGGGCACCAGTCTATTGATCTGTGAAATGGGATGCCAGCAGGTTCACTCTGAGAATTAGAGCAAATAATGAAGAGGGGTGCCCCTCTCCCAGGGTCTGCTCACACTCACGGGAGAGACTCAGGGGTGCTCTCCTTTTCATTCATGGCAGAACCCGTTCTCTCTGTACCAGTCTGTGCCAAGTAACACTCCAGGCAAGACTCCCCCTTTCTCATCTGCAGGCGGCCGAGGACTCCAGTTTCTCTCCTAATGAGAAAACATCATTACTGGGGTCACGAGAAGTTCCCACACCGTGTGTGAGTCGGGGCTGGAGCTGGGCTGAGGGCTCTGCCTCCACTGTATAATGATGGATAAGACATGGGGTTTTCCTGGGCCTCAGTTTCTGTACAATGTGATGCTAATTGTCTCTGCCTTATGGGCTTGTTTTGATAAATAGGTGATAATGCATGTGTATAATAAGCTCTCAATAAATCTCAGGCATGACCACATTTCCCGTCAGTCTGAGCACGATGCTACCCAGAACCCAGGCAGCAGGTAAGGGCTGGTTGGCTGACTTCCAAGTTCTGTTCAAATGTTTACTCTGCTCATTTGCTCAGCTGAGCTTTTCTAGAGGCAAATTCCTTCTCTGCTCAGGTCTGAATGATCATAGATTCTGAGTATAGATTTGATTATATTGATGATGCTTTATGCTGTTCAGACAAATAGTCTTTCCAGCTGATCTAAAAGCTCAAAGTAACTATTAAGGAGACATTGTCTAAATGATGAGATACATTTTAATTAGCTTTAAAAGGGTAATTATAAAACAACCGCAGGTGTTACATTTAAACATTATCACCTAGCATATTTACATATTTACAGGACTGAGCCCACCAATAAAAAGTTTCCTTTCCCTGCCCAGTCAATAATTGTCTCATGGTTTCCTTCTAGAAGTTTCCTGGGTGTGCATGTGCATTTGCATATATTGCTTTTTAACACAGAAAAGTGATCATTGTATACCCACTGCTCTGTACCTTCTCTTTATTTTTAACTAACAAATTTTGGAGATTATATAATAGCATACATAGAATTACACCATTAAATTTTATAAAAGGTTTTAAATTAAAGATGTTATTAAAAGTATTTTGGAGTCTATTTAACCACATCTGGGTTGTTTTCAGGTGTTTTGTAATTATATGCTGTAACTTGGAACATCTCTGTATACATATCTACAGGTGCCTGTGGGAATTTATAGGACAGGTGAGGGGCAGGGGCCAGGCAGTCTCCAAGGTTTTACAAATAACTATTTCCACTGATGTTTGCGGACCATCACTTCTTTTTGAAGGATAAGGGCACTGTGAATGGATTAGGTGCACTGTGTTTAGTTACCTTTAGTTAGTTAAAGTGCCTCTGAAACAATCCGAGGTTTACAGTATGGCACAGAGGACAGCTGCCGCACCTCTGGTTCTACTATTTCAGGTTCTGGAGGCCCACTTGGACCTGAGGACTTGAGCGGGTGTCAGGTCGCACAGAGGACTCAAGTGGGGAGAGCAGAGTGGAGATGACCCCCCTGCCTGGGAGGGCGACCCTGGCATGTGACAGCGCTGCCGTCCCTCTCCCTCTGCGGGTCCCAGCCTCCGCGAGGCAGGTGGTCCAGGCCCCGCGAGGCACGTGGTCCAGGCCTGGCGGAGGGAAGCCCTGTCCGGCCGCAGCTCTGGAGACTCTACCGCCAGGAGGGGCAGGGGTCAGGGCCCGCGGGCGTGGGAGGCTGGGCTAGCGAGGCGGGCTCCAGGCGACCCCCTCACCACCGCCCCTTGTTCGGGGAGGCTTCCTCCAGGGCAGACCCAGACGGGGCCAGCCCGGCGCCGACTATAAATTAGTTACAGGGCGCCGCACGTGGCTCTGAAAGCCAATACCTCGCGTGGCGCAGAGGCTCCCAGCACGGTTCCCATCCCGCAGAGCAGGGGGTGGCACTCACTCCCGGAAACACCCCCAGTGCCCCCAGGCGCGACCCCGGGAAGATGGGGGGAGTCCAGGCGAGATCGCAGGCTCCCGGGCCCTGTCTCCCCGCCCCCCACCGTGCTGTGTGGCTCCAAGTCCAGGCCCCCTCCTGGGCCCCGCCCTGCCCGGTCCCGTCCCTGCGGCCGCAGTCCCACCCTCGGCCGAGAGCCCGCCTACCCTGCACCCCACGTGCCGGCCGGCCGACCCCGTCCCACCTCCCCCGCCACCCAGCCTCGTGCTCTGCGGCGTCCGTTACGGCCGGCCCGGTCCCTTACCCGCCCGCGCCCCCGGGTGCGCCCCTGCCCTCCCGCCAGGGCCCCTCGCGGGTCCCCGCGTCCTCCATGGCTCCGTGTCTCCCCGCGTGCCCCCCGTCCCCCGAGCGTCTCTTCCACGTCCCGAGCTCACCCGCGTGTCCCGCCCCCCCACGTGTCCCCCGCACCCCCGCGTGTCCCCGTCTCCCACGTGTCTCCCCGTCCCCCCCGCGTGTCCCCGCGTGTCCCCCCCGCCCCGCGCGCCGGCGGAACTGTGGGATCGCCGCGCACAGGAAGTGGCGGGGCGGCGCGGCCGAGGGCGGAGGGCGGCGGGCCGGGCGGGGCGGGATGGGGGCCGGGGGCGGCGGGCGCCGCACTCGCTGAGGCCCGACGCGGGGCTGGCGCCCAGGCCGAGCGCAGCGGCCGGAGGGGCGCGGAGGACGCCGGGGCCGCGCGCGACGAGCAGGTGGCGGCAGCTGCAGGTGAGCGGGAGGCCCGGCCGAGGTCGGGCCCCTCCGCCGCCCGAGGTCTCCCGCGCCGCAGTGGGCTGGCTGCGTTCCGCGGGGCCTGCGGGGACGGGCGGGGGGTCCGCGGGCCCGGGCGCCGCCGCCGGCCGCCTCCCGGGCCTCGTCCGGCAAGGCCCGGGGCCCTTCGCGGCTCTGCCCGGGGACCGGGGCCGGGCGGCGGGGCTGGGGTCTGCGCGGAGGGTGCGCCCCCGTGCCCCCCCGGGCTGGGCCGGGCCTGTGCGCGCGGAGAGGCGCCCTCCAGGCCGGGGGCGCGGCCCCGGGGCGCGCTGGTTTCACTTTGCGCCGGCTGCGCGCGGGGCTGCGGGGCTGCGGGGCCGGGTGGGCGCGCGGAGCCCCGCTGGACTCGGGACGGGAGGCGTCCGGGGACGACGCGCTGCGCCCACGGGGGGCCGGCGCCTCCCCAGGCCCGTGCGGACCCGGCCTTCGACCTGGGGTCCTGGGGGAGGGGACACTGTTGGCACTTGAAGGCACCTGGGAAGATTGTGCAGTTTGTTTTTTATAACTTTGAGAGAAGTTCAGTGAAATAGCGAAAATGCTTTACAAATGGCTTCCCAGGGCCTTTTCTAAAGTACAATAGTAACTGCTGTCTGAGAGTATTTGAGAAATTGGTTCCTTTTCTTGGGAAATACGACTTCATGAGAAGGAAGATAAGGACCTCTGGCCGTGGAGGGACCGCGGGGGGAGCGGCCGCGGTGGAGAGAGAAGCGTCCCCGGGAGCGCGGGGGTGGGGGAGCCGAACCTGCGGCCCCCGTGGCTGCCGGCCGGCCCTGCAGGCTGCTTGGGCTCTGGGGCTTGGGCATCATCGCTGTCGCCTCTCCGCGCTTCATAAGGGGGCTCCTCGGGTTCTGAACATTCTCTGATTTGGTCACTTCCCACTGTCCCCTCTCCCGCTGCACCAGGTGATCCCGATCCCATCCTCCCCTCCCGCTCACGGTTCCAGGTCAGCCTGGCAGAGCTCTCTTGTGTATCCAGCCCTCCTGGCTCTTGGTTACATTGTTTTAAAAAGAAACTACATGTAATTGACATGCAGAGCCCACAGCACGGCTTCTTAGCCTTGTATGGTGTAGGTGCCTTAATGTTTTGAACAAAACTTCATGTGGGGCACAGTGGTCATGCTCGGCTGGAGCCTGCTGTTGGCCTCACCGGCGTGGGGCCCTCCCGCCCTCCCGGGCCATCTCTGCGAGAAGCCTGCTTCCAAGTCTGTGCGAGGGTAGGGTAAAGGGAGGTAAACTTAAGTGGCCAATGTGGACTTTAGGAGCCATCTCCAGGGAGGGGACTGGTGCCCACAGTGGGCTCAGTGTGGGCACACACGTCTGTCTGTCCTGGCACTGGGTCTGGGGAAGCAAACTGAAAGGGGTGGTTTCATTTCAGAAGTTAGGAAAAGTGCATCCACCACTGTGCTCTGCTTTGTCCCTCTTTACTCGTTTCCGGTGGTAACTAGTGATGGGGCCTAATACACAGGGTTGGCCCTTGACACGTGTTGTCTCTGACTGCACTTCAACCCAGCAAACACAGAGCTTTAGTTACGTGCTGAAAGTTATGTCACAAATTGGTGCAAACACAGAGCTTTAGTTACGTGCTGAAAGTTATGTCACAAATTGGTGCAGCCAGAATTTAAATTAAGACCCCTGGACTCCTATCTTTTCAGACCCATCAGTCTGTTAAAAGTCTGTGAATTTTTATTTCTGGTCAAATCAGAGATAGGAGACCAGTGCTGAAATCCTGATAAGTAAGGAAAATGAAAAACAGAAGTTGTGTCTGAGAAGAGCCAAATGTACTTGGGTTTTTTGGAGAGTCTGGTTAACTTGTCCAATCACATTTTGTCCCTGAAACACACCCCTTCCCTTGATTGTCAGCCTGGCTTAACATGGGAGACAGAAGAGGGGGCGCTTCTTTGCACACCAGGTAGGTGCCCCTCACTGTTCCCTGTTCCTCTCGAAATCCACGCCTGGCACAAGCAGCTGGTTCCTCACCCACCCTGTGCCTTCCTCTCTGGGCTTGTCAAAAAGGAGTGTTTCACTGTTAGGAGTTGTGGCTGCCTGTGGTTACATTTGCTTGTTTCCTTTTTAATGACTTGTATAAAGTGGGATCAGTAACTCAGTCTCCTTGAAAAATGTATAGTATGAGGTTGGATTGAACTGGGTAAAACAATTGCTGAGAAATTCCATGGGTTTTACTTCTCCTGAACCAAAGAATGCTTGAAGATTTTAATGAGTTGTTCCACATCGTAAAGTGAAATGACTATGACTTAATCTGCCATTACCAAAACCACTTCCTAATAATTTCAGAATTTATCCCAAATTACCAATTTCAAAATACTGCATTTCAGGCATACACACTAGTGGTTCATCCTCTGATGGCCTTTCCTGTAGTTAGAAGAACTCGCTGTGTTTTGATCTAGGTCCAGCAAAGTACTAGAGGCTGAAGCACTCGGAGCTTTGGGATGAACCCACGCTGTTCCCTCTGGGTGGAGGAGCAGGGGGGGATGCAAAGTTGGTCCAAGTTTTTACTGCTGGACTGAAGACTCTAACCGGTCCCACACACAGTGGTCAGTTGGCTATGTCTTTTCCAAGTACAGCTAGGGTACATCTTCGATGTCAGTGTTAGCAGGTGGAAACACATGTCTTTCGGTGTGTGATAGGCAACATCCTTCCCCCTGGCTGGGTGCTTTGCATCATATAGGACTGAAAACCGAACCAGGGGTGCTGGCTGTGGAGCAGCATGCCAGCCGCGGAGGGGCCTTTCCCCAGGTGACTCAGGGAGGCCGTGCATTATTTATGTGATCCTCTCGGTTCCTTTCTGATGGTGGGGAATGAACTGGGTAATAAAGAACAGTAGTCATGACTTCTGTTGTTGAGCCGTGTGCTGTAGTAACACCTCGAGGTAAGCGTGCTCTCTGAGGGCGCAAGTCCAGTGGGAGCTCGGCGGTGGAGTCCCAGATGACAGCTTTTCTCTTTCTCATGTCAATTGCTGACCTGAAAGCGTTCTAAATCTCTGCTGATGTGAAGTATGTCACTTGCTGTGCGACTTAGACTTTGCTTGTATAAGGACAGCTGCAGTTACTGCCCTTCAAGTTGCATGTCATGTGCTCATTATTTGGTTCTCAAAACAACGCTGTGCAGACAGGGCACTGCCCCATGACACAGATGGAGACACCGAGGTGGTAGGGCGTGGCCAAGGTTGCTCAGCCAGCAAGTGACAAATCCAGATTTGAGACACAGGTCTGACTGAATCCAAACCACCTTCCTGCTCAGAAAACTTAATGTATGAACAATTTATTTAGAAACAGAAAGTAAGTGATTGGCTTCACAGCAGTGTTCATTTAAAAGCTGCTACACTTGGAAGGGATCACAAATCCCCATCTAAGATGATAGAAACAGATACATGCTAGATATGATGTTGCACTGGGGAGAAAGTGCATCAGTTGATGCAGACTCATTTGTGCTCAGCTCTTCTCGGTGCACCTGGTCAGAGGACAGTGAAGAGCTGCCCACTCTTAGTATAAAGAATGTGCTGATGGCTGGGCCAAGCCTTTCGGACTGACTTCTAATTTCTGATGTGGGCCACTGTCCTGGTCTAACTGGTCACTGAAAGAATGATGGAGATACACATCACTCACTGTATGTTCGGAGAGAAGTGAAGCAAGGAGTGTATCTTGCACAATGTGTGCAAGCGATTTTTGCCAAAACAAGATGGAAGTCAAATTAAATGAAAACTCATGGGTGTGGGCTCTGCGGGAAGCAGGTGCCATGGTGCAAAGCAAAAAGGTCTGTTGGGAGAAACGCCGTGGGGGCTGCGGGGGCCAGTGGCTGGGGGTGCAGGACAGCAAGGGGAGCCACCTTGAGGGGGCCTCAGCGGGGCCTGGGGGTGGTGTGGGCAGCAGACCCCACCGCATGGCAGCTGCCCTTGGGGGGCCGAGTGTCACCGCCATGACGGCCTCATGGGTGAGGCCCAGTGACTCAGGGACCCACAGAAGTGAAAGAGCACAGGGAGTGATCCCAGACTGCTGATCGAGTCCGGGCTAGAGGTGTCCAGTTCAGAGCAAGGCCATGTCTCAGCAGGTGCCTCCGCCCTCACTGGTGGCAAGCTGCCACAGGGGGAAGGTGTGCGGCACAGAGGGAGCCCCCAGGCCTCCCTGCTGGTGACAGCGAGCAGAGCACACACCTGGGCACGCAGGGGTCCGTTCGGGTTTCCAAACCAAGGTGCTCACTCCTATAATGGAAGTTCCAGAACACTTGTAAGGAACACTCCAGGAACTTGCAGTCCAGGCCCGGCACTGGGCTCTTGTGGTGTTTCTATGGAGCCTGTGGCTTTGGTGGCTTTCACCTCTGCAAGTTTTAGAAACTTACTGGATATAAACGTGACTTTTTGGTAAACAAAGCTATATGTGAAAGTTGTAAACAGATTCCAATGGGCCAGGCAGGAAGGCAAGCCAGGGACAACAGGGCGTGAGATGCAGCAGAGGCCACGTGAGCGCCGTGGTGGCTGAGCACCCTCTCTCGGGCGTGCCCACCGGCCCTGCCACAGACACCCTGCCCATATGGCCAGGTGACTGTAGGGTGGGTCACTAGAGCTCAGGTCTGTTAAGACAAGCCAGAAATACAGATGTCTATGCAGTTATTTATTCTTAACAAGCCATGTAGGCCGGATAAAAAAATGCTGCTGGCATTTAACCTGTAGGCCACTACTTGTCTAAAATATTTGCTTAATTAATTAATTTTGGTATCATTAATCTACAATTACATGAGCAACATTATGGTCACTAGACTCCCCGCATCATGAAGTCCCCACCATATAACCCATTACAGTCACTGTCCATCAGCGTAGTAAGATTTTGTAGAATCACTACTCGTCTTCTCTGTGTTGCACAGCCATCCCCGTGCCTCCCCCAACATTATACATGCTAATTGTAATGCCCCTTTTCTTTGCTTCCCCCTTATCCCTCCCTTCCCACC